CTCAAAGACTCAGGGGGTCCGGCTGCTGAGAGGTTTCATGCCAGAGCCCCACGACCCAGCACCCCCCTCCCCCCACTTACACTGACGTGGACAGCGTTCGCTCCCCGTGGGAGCCGGTCCGAGGACGGCACCAGAAAACGTCCTGGTGTCCCAGGGTCGCCTTCTCTCGGCCACCCCTCCGCCCCGGAGACGGAGCTGGTCCTGGGCCAGAACGGTGGACCGGGCATCCCAGGCCCAGCCCGAGACCCTCCGGCCTCCTGCTCGGTGCCGACACACACCACCCGGCGCCCGGGGCCAGCGGGTCCCGCCTGCCTGTCTGTCTGTCCGTCCGGGGTGTCTGTTTACTCCCGGGAAGCGGGCAGAGGGGCCGGTGCTGTGGGGCACGGGGTGCAAGGTCCGAGGGGCAGGGACAGAGCCGTGAGCAGCTGACCTCCCTGTGTCCGCCCGGGGAGCCCTCGCCGGAGCCTGGGCGGGCCGGGGGGCGGGGGCGGCGACCCCACATGCGCCTCAGCGCAAGGCCCAGGACCCGGCCTCCGGCCGCAGCACCGGCGAAGGAGGCGAAGGAGCGGCGGGGCCTGCCCTTGGCCGGCCGGCGGGCCGGGCCTCCACCAGTGCGGGCGCCGCCCAGGGTCGGAGGGGGAGCGGCCAGGCCGGGTGCAGACCGGTCGCCACCGAGGACACACGGCGTTCCGTCCCGCGGGGCCTCCGACGGACGGGTCCCGCGTGCACAGCCCGTCCCGGCGCCATGGGTCCTGACTGCCGGACACGGGGGGCGGCCCCTCCGTCCGTCCGTCCGTCCGCGGATGAGTGGGCCCCTGAGCCGGGGCCGTCCGCCCGCTGGCCCACCGGCCCGCCGTGGAGAGGAAGGGCGTTCTGAGGGCGCCCCTCGGGGAGTGTGCGCATCCGCAGTGACGCCGGCGTGGTGCCCGGCGTGGGACCTGCTCACCTACGCACCCCCACCCCCCCACCCCCCGCAGCGGGAGGCCCCGGCGACCTGGGGAGCCTGGGGGCCCGGCCTCAGTCTCCGAGGTTTCCCGGCGGCTCGGAGAGGGGTGGCAAAAGAGGGCCGCGCCGTGCAGCGGCAGGTCTGGGGCCATGAGCCGCCCGGGGCCTGGGCGGGAGGTGGAAGGATGGGCACGCGGCGGCCACCTGGGGCGGGGCTCGCCCGGCAGGCCCAGGGAGGTCTCTCCACAGGCCGCTGCCTCCCCGGCCAGCCCCGCCCCCAGCTCCCGGCGGCCACCCCACCCTGGGCCTGCCCCCTCGCACCCCGATGGCAGCGAGGTGGCGTCTCCCCACCTTTATTCCACTGGTGCCCCCCCGCCCTTTGGGGGACCCACAGGCCCTTCTCTCCCTTCCTCCCTTTTTTAATTTTTTAAAAGTTTATTTATTTATTTGTAGAGAATGGAAGGGAGGGAGAAAGAGATGGAGAGAAACATCCATGTGTGGCTGCCTCTCGAGCGCCCCCTACTGGGGACCAAACCCGAAACCCAGGCCTGTGCCCTGACTGGGAATCGAACCGGCCACCTTCCGCTTTGCCGGGTGATGCCCAGCCCCCCGAGCCGCTCTGCCCAGGGCCCACCAGGCCCTTTTCCGTTGCGAGTCTGTGCCGAGCACCGTGGGAAGCTGGTGTGGGAACTCTGTGCCGCCGTGGCAGGACCCCGCGGCGGGCTGAGGAGGGAGCCCCCTGGAACATCTGTGGGGAGCACCTGGCGCCCCGGCGGCAGCGGGTCCCACAAGCCCTGGGCCTCCCGCCTGTCCAGCCTGGTGTGGGGGCTGCTCTCCCAGGGGGCCTCGCAGAGCCAGGACCCTGGCTCGCCTCAGGAGGTCCCCGGGTGGCTGCAGGGAGCGTGGCCCCGGCCCCGGCCCCGGCCCTCCTCAGAGGAGGAGCAGCAGCACGCAGTCCCGTGATGAGCTTTCTGGGGACGCCCTGGGCGGTCAGTGTCCGCAGGGACTTCAGCGGAGGTCTGGGGACAGTCCCTGCCCCTGGGCTGGGACATTCTGGCCACCTGCAGACAGGATGCTGTGGGCCCTGAACACCCCAGTGGCACCCCCTCGGCCTTGCGCTGGGGGAAGGGCAGGCGCAGTCCCCTCCCCCGGGTTCTGTCCCTGCAAGCCTGTGTGGTCTTAGTGTTGCCTCCAGGAGGTGGGGTCCCCTTGCAGACCCCCAGGGCAGGCTCCTCTGCAGAGACCTTGGCTGCCACAATGGGTCCGGCACACAGGAGAGGCCCCAGGTGGCCTGGTGGGGCCTGAGGCCACAGGGCCAGTGACTGTGGTTTGGGGACTTGGGTGGGCGGCAGCCCCTCTCCTCCGCCCCTTTGCGATACAGGTGGTGGACGTCCTCTGGGCAGTCCATAAACTCACGGAGCCGGTAGCCCTGGCGGCCCAAAGCCCGGAAGGCCGGGCTCTGTTCCTCGGGACCTGCCAGACCCTTCCAGAGGACCCGGCCCTCGGACAGATGCAGAGCCACGCCACGTGGCCACGTGGCCTGGAGGAGATGGGGAGGGTGCACAGCTGGGTCTTCCCATGTGTCACAGGCCGAGGGAGGTCCCCAGGGGTCACCTCTGCACCCCTGCCTCCAGGAGGGGCTCCCAGACCACCCCGCGCTGCCCCAGCCCGATGCCGCCCCCAAAGGGGAGCCGGCGGCTGCTGCCCCATCTCGGCCAGAGGCCCCCGCTCCTCCGTGGAGGCCCTCGGAGCGTCTGAGCGAGCCCCTCTCGCCACAAGGGCGAGCTGCCAGTGAGCCCGGAGGCCGGAGCCCAGGCCAAGAACAACCTCTGGGGGCCAGCAGGACGCACCCCGGTTCTGGAGGCAGAGCCGTTGGCCCAGACTCCCGCTGGGAGGGGAGGCGGCAGCCCCGCTCCGCTCCGGACGGACGGACGGGCTGCGTCTCCTTTTAAGGCAACGCGGCCCGGCTGCAGCAGCCCCCGCCCGCTCTCCCCGCGGTTCTGTTCTCTGTTCTCTGTTCTGCTGGGAGGAGACCGATTCGTCAGCCCCCCACCCCCCAGCCTGTTTTCCACGAGCTTGTTTTTAAAGGCCTGGCACGGCTTCCCAAGCTCAGGCACATGGCGGATCCCGCAGGGCCGGGGTGCACCCTGAGGGGGTGGGGGGCGGGGACCCTGCAGGGAGCCCCTCTGACGTGGGCTGGGCTGGGCTGGGGGCCCTGGAGGGAGGCAGGGCAAGGTCAGAGGAGGTGGCTCGGCTGCTGCTGGTGACAGAGGCCTGAAGCAGCCCAGGTGTCCCTGAGCGTGCGGGTGAGACCGGTGAAGTTCTCGTCTCTCTAGGTCCCCGGTTTCCTCTGCGCGAGGCCTCGGAGTGGCGTGGGAACTCTGCAGAGGGCGCCGGGCAGGGCACAGGGGCCAGGGAGGCCTCGCCGCCTGCACACTGGGGACCCGGGCGAGGCAGAGCGGGGACAGCGTGGCCGGGCCTGCCTGGGGGCCCCGGCCTGCTGGCCAGACTGCACGCGGGGCGTAGATATGTCCTGGCCTGAGAGGTGACCGGCCCCTCAGGTTCCCGTGACGGTGCGTGTCCTGTCTTCCTCGCCTTCTCTGAAGCCACGGTTCAGTCGAGTCGCCGCCCCCCCTGCCCTGTGCGCCCCCTGCCGCTGCCGGCTCGGCCCAGGGGGCAGGAGGGGCGGGCACATTCCAAGGGCCTGTCTCACCAGGCCCTGTGCCCCTGGGCCATCTGCTGGGACTCCGGCTGGGGAGCCAAGGACTTTTGCTGCTAAATAACCCCCAGGCTGGTCCCAGCCGCCTGTGTTTGTGCTGCAGGCACAAACTGTTCCCATGAGCCCGACCGGCTCCCGACCCTGTCTGGGGGCAGGGGTGTGGGGGTCCCCTGTTCCCCAGTACCCCAAAAGACAGAACGCCTTCCTGGCACCCAGGCCACAGCCTCTCCTCTCACCAGCCTTGGAGGGAGGGCATGCAGAGCTCCTGAGACCCTGGCTGCGCCGGGCGCTGTGTCGCTGGTGGGCTCTTGTCCCCGGGGGGTGCGGATCTGCTGCCTGCCCTCAGCCACCCACCGGGGCACGGCTCCTCAGCGTGTGTGTGTGTGTGTGTGTGTGTGACCGCAGTGCAGCCCTGGGGCCCCAGGGCCCGAGGTCAGCCGGCCCCGCCCGCCCCAGGGCTCCTCACGGGCAGGTCCGGGCCTGAGCGAAGCTTCCACTGAGAAACCAGGGAAGATGCCGTGGGCGGTCAGAGAGCCCCGCGCACTCGGGGTCCAGGCCTGCCGTCACTCCCAGTTTCGGCGCGGTGGGGACGGCAGACAGAGCGTAAAAACACCCTCGGGGGGGCAGAATAAAATGCCAGCAGTTCTGTATGCTTTTTAAAGATTTTATTCATGTATTTTCAGAGAGAAGGGAAGGGAGGGAAAAAGAGAGGGAGAAAAACATCAGTGTGTGGTTGCCTCTCGTGCGCCCCCTACTGGGGAGGGAACCTGGCCCACAACCCAGGCATGTGCCCTGACTGGGAATCGAACCGCCGACCCTTTGGTTTGCAGGCCAGTGCTCAGTCCACTGAGCTGCACCAGCCAGGGCAAAAGTCAGCAGTTTTATGTCAGTCCCTCTGACCTTCGACCCCGCTCTGAAAAGGGACTGGCGTCCAGGCCCCAAGTCTGAGGACCTCAGACCTCCCTGGAAGGCAGGGCGGGGCCCAGGATGCCGCGGGTGCAGCTCAGGACGCCAGGGGCACCAGAAACCATTGGGGCCAAGACGAGTGGTGTTTTCATGACAGTTGGGAGAAAACCCAACGCGATGTGTTCGACCGGTGAACACAACTTCCGAGTCGTGATCAGAGACGGGCCTGGGCTCTCTGGGCCTTCCTCTCGCCCTGAGTCCCAGCCCGGCTCAGCAGGGCCCGCCCAAACACACTCTGTGCACACCGGGCTCCCCCGCCTGAGCCCGCCGCCCCGTCTCCTGAGCCCCCCCCGCCCCCCACCAGTCCCACCCTCTCTGCTGTCGCCCTGGAGCCACCCCTCACGTTTGCTCTTCTCTCCCAAACTCTCAGGAGAGTGAGCGCCCAGAGACCAGGACGGACGCCAAGGGCAGCCGGGAGAAGGGCGGCGACGCCGGCAGAGAGGCCCCGGGCCCCCGGCGGGACCTGGGCCTGGGGCGGGAGCCCCGGCGGGGCGCCCTGAAGAAGAGCTTCTCCAGAGACCGGGAGGACGCCGAGGCCAGAGGCGCCCAGCAGCCCAGGGAGGAGAAGCTGCTGAGGGGCATCGACAGGGGCCGCGTCAGGGCTGCCGTGGACAAGACCGAGGCCGGGGGGGCGGGGTGGGGGGACAGCCGGGCGGCCGCCAGGCAGGAGGACAAGCCGAGAGGCCGGGACAAGGACAAGAAGGCAGACGAGGGGAAGGGGAAGGGCGGGGTCCAGCGCCCCGAGGCCGCCAGGCAGGAGGGCCAGGAGCTGAGGCGGGAGAGCAGGGGCGCAGACCCCGGCAAGGCCGGTGACGACGTCCAGCAGAGGGCGCCGCCCGGCCCGAGGGGGGCCACAGAGGAGAAGGAGCCCGCCGCCGCGGAGGAGCCGGCCCCCGGCAGCCCCGCCAAGCCCCCTGAGGCGCCGGCCACAGCCACAGCCACGGCCCCGGCCCCCGCGGAGGAGGAGGCCGCGCCCAGCATCTTCGACGAGCCCCTGGAGAGAGTGCGGAGCAACGACCCCGGCATGACCGAGGTCAACGTCAACAACTCCGACTGCATCACCAACGAGATCCTGGTGCGCTTCGCCGAGGCCCTGGAGTTCAACACCACGGTGCGCACCTTCGCGCTGGCCAACACCCGCGCCGACGACCACGTGGCCTTCGCCGTCGCCATGATGCTCAGGGGCAACAGGGCCATCACCAGCCTCAACCTGGACTCCAACCACATCACGGGCAAGGGCATCCTGGCCATCTTCCGCGCCCTGCTGCAGAACAGCACGCTGACCGAGCTGCGCTTCCACAACCAGCGGCACATCTGCGGCGGCAAGACGGAGATGGAGATCGCCCGGCTGCTCAAGGACAACACCACGCTGCTCAAGCTGGGCTACCACTTCGAGCTGGCCGGGCCCCGCATGACCGTCACCAACCTGCTCAGCCGCAACATGGACCGGCAGCGCCAGCGGCGCCTGCAGGAGCGGCAGGCGCAGGAGGCCGCCGCGGAGAGGAAGGGGCTGCTGGAGGTGCCCAAGGCCGGGGCGCCGGCCAAGGGCTCCCCCGGCCCCTCTCCCCAGCCGTCTCCAAAGGCCTCTCCCAAGAACTCGCCCAAGAGAGGGGGTGCCCCGGCCGCCCCGCCCCCGCCACCACCTCCCCTGGCCCCGCCCCTCATGGTGGAGAACCTGAGGAACTCGCTGTCGCCGGCCACCCAGAGGAAGATGGGCGACAAGGTCCTCCCCGCCCAGGAGAAGAACTCCCGTGACCAGCTGTTGGCGGCCATCCGCTCCAGCAACCTGAAACAGCTCAAGAAGTTAAGTGGCGGGGTGTGCCGAGGGGCAGGAGGCCCGGAGGGGACGGGCAGAGGGAGCCGGTCAGGCTGCGGGCATCATGCGGGTGCCCAGGGTCATCTGTCTGCTCCCTGCCTCCAGACGGCACCTCTGTCCCTTAGAGGGGACTGTCCTTCCTTCAAGGGGCTGCACCTCCTGCCAGAAGCCACACACAGTCTCTCCATGGGGTGCCAGCCTCGGCCCTTCTCCCTGCCCCCCCACCTTCCAACCCCCTCTCAGGACCGGCCCAGCCCCCCTGCCCCAAAGCTCTGGGCCCTCCACCCACAGAGCCTCCCTGTAACGTGCAGGGCCGGGACACCAGCCGCCCGGCCCCTCTGCTCCCCGGGGACCGGGCATGGCATCAGGTCCTGCCCCACAATGTTGCTGGGGACCAGACGGCCGGAGAGACAAGACAGGCTCGCTGGGGTCCCCGATGGCACCCGCTTTTCCTGAAAGGGGGACCGCCCCGGGCCCTCCCCCCCAGACCCAGCTGCAGAACCTGCTTCTGGCCCCGCCGAGCCACCCCCTGACCCTCTGCCTTGTCCTTGTCCTTGCAGGTGGAGGTCCCCAAACTGCTGCAGTAGCTCCCGGCTGCCGGGCACACCTCCCCACCGCCCCGGCTGACCTGCCGCCAGACCCGGGCCACGCCTGCTCGTCCCAGCGTCTCCTCTGCACCCGGAGCGGACGCTTCCGGACAAGCAGAGTCCTTCCTGCACGTCCCTCAGAAGACGGCATGCCGGTGGGGCCCAGGGTGTCCCCTGGGGTCCACGTCACAGCCCAGCCCCCGCCTCCCGGGGCCAGGATCCAGGCTTCTGAGGAGCCCCGGGCAGAGCTGCTGGGCTGGGGCGTTCTGTGCGGGGCGGGGGAAGGGCAGAGGGCGGAGGGGGGAGGGACGAGGGGCTGGGGATGCCCCAGTGCTTGCCCCCGCTCCGCCCTCCGCTCATCAGGGCACGTGGTGGTGGGGCAGCTGGCCCGGAGGGACGTGCCTGGGGGCAGGGGGAGACAGACAGACAGACAGCAGCCGGACCTGAGGGTTCGGTGCCAAAGCAGACGTTTCGCTACACCCACCCGCTGCTGCTGTGAAGGGCTGTGTCTTTTCCCTAAGATTTTGATAATATATGCAAGCCTTCAGCTTTGAGAGGCTGTGTCTACCTCTGTCCTGGGCCCTGGGCCCCGACGTGATGCCCACCTGGGCTCCCTGGGGGTCCCCATCCACGCCATCCCAGTGGCCGGAGCCCAGCTCCCAGAGTCAGGAAGGACGGTGCGGGGACAGCCTCCCCGCTGAGCCGGCTGTCCAGCCAAGCGGCCAGGCCTTGGCCAGCTGGGCCACTCCTGTACTGTCAGGGGTAGGCCAAGGGGGCCCAGGACCGGGACCTGCATTCGGCACGTTCACGCCCTGACCCTCCCTGAATACGGGGGCACGCCGCCAGCTCTTCACGACGCCCATGGCCCCCGGCCCAGGAAGCATCCCCTGCCCTGGCTGCGGGCTGTCCAGGCTTGAGGGGACCGGGGGCCCTCCACCGGGGTGCGTCACAGGCATCCCTGTGGTTCGATGGCTGAACGGGGCCTCCCTGGCACTGTGCGGCTGCGCGTGGGTCTGCGGCTCGGCAGGGGGCAGGAAGTTTCCCCATCTTTGGGGTGCGGGCGGGGTCTCTGCGTGGTCCGGCCGAGAGCAGGGGGCAGGCTGGCCCTGCTAGCGAAGCTGGGGCCTCAGGCACGCCCCAGCCCCGCCCCCCTGAGGCCCGCTACGCCCCAGGCGCCAGGGAGGGACCTCGAGGGCGCCCGTGGTCATCCCTTAGTCTCGGTCAGGGGTTTGCGGCTCCGGCCGACACCGCGCTCCGACGCGGACGCCGGCAGCACCCCGACTCCGCAGGGAGCTTTGCAGAGAAGGTTCGGCCCCAGAGGGTGGCCGGAGCGCGCTGAGAAGCGAGCGCCCGCACCGGCCCTGCACACACGGGCCGGGCCCCACGGCAGCCCCGCGCTCCAGGTCTGAGGCTCCCTCCGCCCCGGCCGGCGTGCGCAGCCTCCCGCCAAACCAGAGACGAGGCTTGGCCGCGCTAAGGACCTCTCGGTCCACCAGCCACAGGGCAGCCTGCGGGTTCTTCCTCCGGCCTTTGGGCGCGGCCGGGCCCAGCCCTTGGGACGTCGTCTCTGGGCGCGGGAGCGCAGCGCCGCCTGGTGGCGGGTCTCGTGCAGCGTCCCGGCCCCTGTGACGTCACTCGCACCCGCGCAGCAGTGGAAGCCGGGGAGCGCGGCGCCACCTAGAGGCGGACCCTCGCGCAGCGCCCGGCGCGTGCGACGTCACCTCCCGGCGCCCGCCCGCCCGCCCGCAGGGCCCCCCGCGGGAACACCCAGGTGCCGGAACCGGAACGGGTCGTCCTGGTCCGCGCCAGCCTTTGGCGGCGAAGACAGTGGGTTCTCCTGCCGACCAGCACGCCCTCTGCGCCCCGCCCCATCCCCTCTGCCCAAGGGCACAGTGCGTGGGTCTGATGTGGAATCGCCATCACTGCGCCCGGCACTCCCATAGGGCCCTGCGGACACCCTGGGAGACCCCAGTCCCCGAGGGTCCCCGCTGCTCCCCCCACCACCTGCTTTTCCGGAGCCCCCACCGCAGGCTGCGGCCAGAGCCTCCCCGCGGTCTAGGGCGTCAGGGGCGGGCGGGTTCCGGCCGAGGCTTGGGCAGCTCCGGGGGCGAGGGAGCCGGCGTGCGCCCGTCTCCCCGCTCGGCTCCTGGTCCTGCGCCCTCTGATCAGCAGGGAGGGGCAGCTTCAGCCCCGTGACAGTCCCCGCCGATGAGCCGAGGCTCGGGCGCCTTCGCAGGCCGAGCGAGGACCTTCCGGAGCCCGGAGGGGAGGGACGCCTGTGCACCTGGTGGGGCTGGCTGGGCGCAGGGGTGCGGCACGGTGGGAAAGCTCTGTCACCCACGCGGGCGCGCATTCCTCGCTCGGCAGAGCTCATCTGGTGGCTCCGCCCGAGGAGGGCTTGGTGGTGCTGCGCCGCCCGGCCCCTCGCAGCCCGGGTCCCGGCGCAGGGCGCGTCTCTGGACGGGGAGGACGCCGGGCCACGTGCGCTCCCGCTTTATTCCAGCAGCCCGGCGGGTCGCGCCCCAGCCCACAGGGGCAAACAGGGAGGCCCGGGGTTGGAGGGACTGCAGGAATCCAGGGACCCGTGACCCACGCTGGCACGTCCTTCCCTGGCCCCCAATAAAAACGGTACAGTACCCAGGCCCCGCCCCTGCCTTCAGTCTCCACCCCCACTTCCCGGGGTCTGTCCCCTGCAGGCTCAGGGCGTGGCTCGGTCCCGGACCTGACCAGTGGAGGATCCCTGCCCACTCGCAGGGCCAGGAGGGGCATCTGCAGAGGGACCGCAGACGGCCCGGGCCCCTCAGGCTCCGGGGAAGGCGGACTGTGGCGGCACTTGAGAGGGAAGAGCTGAAAGCCAAGGAGACGGGATGAGGGTGGGGCTCGGGAGCGCGTGAAGTGCCTCTCGCCGGGGCTCGCAGGTGTGGGGAGAGCCAGCCTGGCGTGGGGGCCTCAGCCCCAGGTAGAGGGAGTCGGACAGGGACCCAGGGTGCGATGGGGGACGGGGAGGGAGGACCCGGTGCAGGCCGCGGGCGGCGTGGGCGGGGGAGGGGGCGGCAGGAGCAAGAGCGGCAGACAGCTCAGCTTGCTCACCTGCAAGCTAGAGAGGAGGCCGGGGAGGACCCCCGGAGCTGGGCGGCGGGGGCAGGGGGCCCGAGGGGTGAAGGCACACAGGCTGCAGCAGATAGCCTCTCAGCGGGATCTCCTGGCCTAGGTGGGAGGCACGGGTCAGCGGGGGGCTCCTCCCCCACAGGCACCGTCGCCTCCTACCCGGGCAGCACGGCTGGCTGGCCTCCAGACCTTGCTGATCAGAGCCGGGCAGGGAGCTGGGCGGGCCCGAGGGGGCGGGGGCGGGGCGGGGCGGGGGGGGGCGGTCTGGGCTTGGCTGGCTGACACCCCCCACTCCCGCAAGCTTCTGGGACCTCAGGGGTCTGCCAGCCCTCCCCACCCCCACACCGACCTCCCAGGCCCATCCCCCATCTCAGGGAGAGCGTCAGCGCTCACAACTCCAGAGCCCACGCTCAGTGGGCGCCCTGTGCCTGCAGGGCCCGCGCAGCACATGCCCCGCTGACCGGCAGCAACCTGGGCATGCCTGAGGCCGCGGGCCGGTGCTCGCGTGCAGCCCCGGCAGGCGAGTGGAGGGGCTCACAGCCCCGGAGCTCCGGCTGCCCGTCTGGCCCTCGCACGCCAGCACTAACCGTACCTGCAAAGGGGCTCTGCAGCCGCTGGCGGCGGCGGGACAGGTAGCGGCAGGTGCAGAGGAAGCAGCAGAGGCTCGTGGCCGCCACGGCCACAAACAGGATCAGGGCCGAGGCAACGCCTGCTACCACCTTGTGACTTGAGACAACAGCGTGTCCTCGCACCCCGTAGCAGCCCCGGGGGGGGGCCCCGACAGGTGGGGGAGGCACAGACTGCGTGCGGAGGCCACCCGGCAGGTGAGCAGCGGACCTGGGAGTCAGACCTGCCCCCTCCTTCGGGCCACACCTCCCTCCACGATGCTGCCCTGTAGCCAGGGTGTGCCCCCGGCCTCCCTCCGTGGGATCAAGGGTGCCCCAGCTCCAGCCCACAGGGAGAGGCTGCTGTGGGGAGCCCGGGCTTTGGCTCCGGACGGGGAGGTGGGGGAGGCAGGAGGCCAGCCCACCTGAAGCGCAGGCACTGCTTCTGCTGAGACTCTGAAATGGCCAAGCTGGGGTCCCTGCAGCAGAACCGGCGGTGGCAGGTCCCGCAGCAGAAGCTGAAGGGCTGGCAGCCGAACCCCGGGTGCCAGGTGTCGTTCTCGTCCAGGTGCCCCAGGCAGCTCACACCAGCCAGCGCTGCGGGCAGGGCGGGGCGCCCGGGGGCTGCCAGACCCGTCTTCTGCCTGCGCCCAGCCCCACCCTATGCCGCCCGCCCCTGTGACCCCTGTCCAATGGTCCCCCCAGCCCCAGGGGTGCCCCCAGTAAGCCCCAGGACCTGGTGGTCCCCAGCCTGCTGGCGCCGACAGCCTGCAAGCTGCCCCTTGTTTCTCCCTGAGGCGCTCAGCCCCTGACCCCAGGGTCAGCTTCCCAGGGAGCAGACTCCATCCCCTTCACCGGCAGCTCCCTGCCGGCTGCCGGCACTCCCAGGGTCTCAGGGCCCCACTCCTGGCTCCCTGCCCTTACCCAGGGGAGCCCCCAGCAGCAGGAGGGAGACGGCTGGGAGCAGCATGGCAGGACAGGGTTGCTGCGGGGACCAGAGCTGTCGGGGACTGCCTGCTGCCCAGTGCTGTTGTGGTGGCCGGACTGGCCGAGGATGGATCCCAGTGACACTGCCTGCCAGCCACACCCCCGGCCTCAGCTTGTGCCCTCCCTCCAGGGCGGCCCCTGCCATCTGCCCCAGGCACGTGGGCAGACCTCAGAGGGGCAGGGCCGGACCTTCTCTGGGGCCGTGTCCAGCCCAGGGCGCCCAGCGGAGGGAACAGGAAGAGGGTGGGCACCCCCTGTCCCCACTCCCAGAACACAGGCCCCACTGACAAGCAGCTCAGAGCAGCTGTGTCCGCAGCTGCACGAGGGCCCCACCCCCGCCAGGAGACGGCACTGGTGTGCCCAGGCGGGGCCTTGCCTGGACGGCACCGGGCAGAGGCCCCTCCCTCACCCAGCCGCCTGCAGAGGTGTCGCCTGGCCAGGGCGCGGGAGGGCAGAGCCCACTGAGTGCAGTTTTTGGGGTCCATCAGCCCCACAGGTGTACACAGAGTGCTGGGGCCTGCACCCATGCTTCGTGGGTGCCCTGACCAGGGGCCGCAGGCCAGGCGAGGGAGAGCACCTCACTGGGCACGTGGACCCAGGCCTTGCTGGAGACCCGCAGTTCTGCGGACTCAGGGAGGCTGACAGGCGTTATCAGGGACACCGGTGGCCCAGGGCCATGCCCTGGTCACCCAGGAATGGCAGGGCAACAGTGGGGCCCCACCCGCAGGAGTGGACAGGGTGGACGGTGCTCTGAGGTGAGGGGGTCAGGAAAGGGCCACGGGGAGCCCCGTCCTGGCCCCCTTTCCGGGATCACAAACGGGTGGCGGGAGGCCACAGTGCAGCCGGGGCAGGGACGTCCCCGTCTCATCTCCCAGGGCCCTGCCCAGGGCAGGGCAGGCGCCCGCCCGCCAACCGGCCCATTGGACGGGACAAGGCTCCCACGGCGCAGACCTGGGTCTGAGCGGACCCCTGGCCCTGGGCTGCTGGGCTTCCCCAGGATGGCTGTGGCCGGGGGGCCTCACCCAAGCAGCAGAGGGGCAGAGGCCGGAGCCCCGGGGGCAAGCCGGCACACCCACGGCTGGGGGCTGGCTGGGAGCTCTGGGGAGACGCTGCCGTCAACAGGGCCCAGGGACCCAGTCCTCACCCAGGGCTCCTTCCCAAACCCGCCCGGCTCTGTAACCTCCGTAACCGGCAGACCCAGGGGTTTGGGTCCTCAACGGTCGCCCCCCAAAGGTGTCCTGCGGTGCAGAGGTGTGGCGAGCACCTCCCCCTTACTGCGGGGGTTTCTGTAAGTGGCCGCAGCTTCTCTCTGGGATGGGTGAGGCAGCCAGGGCCCCACCTGCCACCCCTGCCTGAGCCAGTCCCGTGACCATGGCAGGGGTGGGGGGCTGCTGGTCAGTGTCTGGTCACCGCCCACCCAGTCCTGTGCTGCCCCGTGTCCAGGCCCTCCCCAGCTGCTCAGGAGACCACGGGCCTACACTGCTTGGTCCTGAGCATCCTTCTCACCCAGGGGCCCACCCCTGCGCCTGGCAGGCAGTGACTTGTGACCATCGGGGTCCTTTCCTGGCCTGTTAGCTCATCCTCCACGTCCCCTGGGGTCTCCCCATTTCAGCTCCGCCCACTGCACTCAGCAACCCTGGGACGGCCACCTCCTTCAGCTCCTGCCAGGGCCCGGGGGCCGCAGGACCTGTGTGGCCGGCCCCACCCAGAGCAACATGAGTCTGTTCAGCCCAAAGGACTCAGGACAGGAGCCAGCTCTCCCCTGGGGGCAGCACCTCGGCCCCGGGCCCCTTTCTCCCGCCTGCCCCGGCCCGGCCCTGGGTGCAGCGGCGGGAAGAGCGCCCACCGTGGCGAAGAGGTGGGGGCGACGGGATGGTGCCAGGACTCAGGAGCTCCTGGGAGGCGGGCGAGCAGCCTGTGGGTGGCCCCCAGCCCCAGCAGTCGGTGCTGCTGCCCGGGGCCGTCCTGGGTGCCCACACCAAGGGCTGGTTTGACCTCGAGCGGCCTCAGCTGACCCCACAGTGGGCAGACCTGCTGCGTGCTCCCATAGTGGCGCGTCCCCAACTTGAAAGGGAGACACAGTGGAGGCAGAGGCGGCCTCAGCACTGAACCGGCGGGCAGCAGACATGTCCTTCCATACTGGACGGGGAGCTGGACACCCGGGGACAGGACACTGTCCTGTGAACGCCCCACGCCAGGACCCTTCCTGGAGACCCAGACTGGCCTCCCTTGACTCTCCAGTCCCCGCCTGCGTGGCCGCAGCCTGAAGGAGCGAGTCTCCTGCTGCGGTGAACGCGGGGGGCCCAGCAGACAAGGGGACCCAGGATCCCTGCCCCCGCCTGTCCACCCCCTCCCCAGGGAAGAGGCGGCGGTGCGGTCCTGTAAAGGGGACTTTACTCTCCTAGAAAAATACACGCTGCGCGGCCGAGGCCGCAGCCCGCCAAGCGGCAGAGTCCTGGGGACCGGGCGGCCTCTGCGTGTCCGGGCGGGGGCATATTAAATATAGTCGGGGAGATGGACTTTAAAAAACCAGTTTTTCCTGTTTTTTTTTCCCCCTAAAAAAGGAGAAACAGACTGCCACCGGCGGGGCTCCCGCCACATGTGTGCACGCGCCCACAGGAGCTGCGTGGGGGCCGGCATGCAAATGTGGGGCCCTCGGTGCTGCATGGGCGGGGCGGGGCGGGGCCTGCGGCTGCTGCGCGGCCCCACCGAGGGCCACGCCGAGGCCGGGCGCGTCCGTGCCGAAGGGGCAGAGGCCTTCCCGTCCGACCCCGCCAGACGCCCCACGGAGGCGAACGGGCTGCTCCGGAGTGCGGGCAGGCGGGGCCCCTGCTCCCCGGGGGGCTCGCGTGTCCGGGCGCCAGCCAAGGACTCCGGGGCGCAGGTGGGGAGGAAGGGGCCCTGGGGGCGGGTCGCCTGCAGGGGCTCGGAGAAGCGTCCCGTCCCCATGTCGCTCGGTGGCCGCACCCCCGGGCCTGGTCCCGGCCGGCGTCGGCATCGGCGTTGGGGCCGCGGCAGAGCGGGGCCCAGGCAGGCGGCCGCTCCGGGCAGAGAGGGACGGGCGCCCTCCGGCCGCCGCACGGGGACGGCGGCAGCGCCACCGCCCGTCAGATCCCGATGGCCTGCAGGACCCGCCTCTCGCTGTCGCTGAGGTGGCCGGAGAACGCGGCGTAGCAGGGCTGCTGGGCGAACTGGCAGAGGAAGTCCGTGAGGTACGCCTGCGGGCGAGGGGCGGGTCACAGGGGGCTGCAGGGCCCCCCACCAATGCCAGCGCCTAGCACGCTCCTGAGCCGGGGTCCCCCTGGAGGTGGGGTCCCCCGCCCAGCCACCGCGAGGACCCCCACTCCGCCGCAAGAAGCCCGCAGGCCGGGGTTATGAGGCCCGAGCGAGGCCCCGCCCACAGGGAGGCCCCGCCCACGGCCCACCGGGCGGAGGGGCAGGCGGGGGTGAGCCGCGCCCTCACCTGCAGGTCGATCTGGTAGAGAGGGTCCTTGAGAGCGTCGGGGTCGTCGTCCTCCTCGTCCTCGTAGTAGTCCTCCTCTGCCAGACACGCCCGCGGGCAGGGTCAGCGGGGACCGCCCCGGGGCGGGGCCCCCACAGGTCCCCTCCCCCTCCGTCCCGGCCAAACCGGCCATGGGGGGGCGCGGGAGAGGCGCCTGCCCGCCCAGCTGCGCCCCCCACCCCCGCTCACCGTATTTGCTGGTGGAGAGGATGTCGGACAGGAGCTGGCCCCCGACGCTGTCCTCCTCCTCCTCGTCCTCCTCCTCCTGGTCCTCCCACATGTCGTTGGAGTCGTCTGGGGAGACACGAGCAGCTGTAGCCCCGCCCCCGCCCCGCCCCCGCGACCTCCCGCTCAGCTCTGGGTGCCCAGCGAGGCCGGCCAGCCCACGCCCGCGGCAGACACGGGGCTCCGCGAGCTGGACAGACGCTCTGGACCCCGGGAGCCGGGCCGGGCACCTTGTCCCCACTCGGCAGGAGCGGCCTGGCGGGCGGCGTTGGCCTCCATGACACTGGACAGCTCGTTGATGACCAGCTTCAGGATCTTAACCAGCAGGGGGATGTTGGTCCAGCGCTCAGGGTCTGGGGGGAAGGAGAGGGCTGCCCTCACCAGCTCCCCTGGCGACACCCCCGACCATACCCACCGAGGAGGGCAGCCCGGCCATGGCACTGGGCTGGCCAGTGCCACCAGAGCGCAGGCGGCAGGGCCAGGGGACTCCAAGTACAGGCAGCAGCCCAGGGCGATGAGCCTGCGGGGCTGGGGGGGGGACACGACCGCCCCCCTCCCCCCTAGCCACTGGGTCACGGGCCAGACACCCCCAACGACCAAGACGCGTGGGGCTCGGGCCCGAAGCCCCAGGACACGCCGGCCCACTGCCCGCCTCCCGCCCCTCGTCCCGCCGCCCGTCACCCACTCTTGGCGGCCTTGGAGCGGGTGCGCACGCCCTCGTCGGCGCTGTGGGCCTCCTCGCCCTGCACGCGGATGTCCTGTAGCCGCCGGTCACCCGCGTTGATGCCGTGCTGCAGCAGCTTGCACAGTGCCACCGAGCTGCGGGACAGCGGCGGGTCAGCCCCGGCCCGGGCACCGTGCCAGGCAGGGGCGGGCAGTCCGAGACTCTCGCGGGGCTGAGGCTCCGCTCACAGCCAGGCCGCGGGGGGGCCGGGACAGAGCGGTCCGGAGCCAGGTCAGAGGTGGGGTGCAGCCTCGGCAGAGCGGGACCCACAGTGGACAGAGGCTGGCCGCTGCGGCCTGAGGTCGGGGACACCGGGGGCGCACGGGGCAGCGGGACCCCCCGCCCCCGACGGGAGTCCAGGACGCGGGCGCGGGAGGAGAACAGCGTGAGGGCAGGCCCACCTCACTTTGCCCTCGTACTGGCCGTAGAACAGGTGCTGCCGGCTCGTCCACTCGGCCATCACGAACTCCAGGGCAGGCTTGCCGGTCGGCCCGGGCAGGCTGCACAGGAACTCCAGGAGGGGCTCGAGCTGGGTGTGCACCAGGTGGGCGAACACCATGATGAGGGACTGGGCGCGGCGACAGGGAGGGCCGTCAGGAAGCAGTGGCCGCGGG